GGTTTACTTTCTCCTAATGAGTCAAAGACATCTTCAAGTCTTGGAAGGGGCTGAGAAATAGGTTTTGTAATTTGATTTAATTTGCGATAGTCAACAGCGAATCTCCATGTATTGTCCTTTTTCTTAACAAGGACAACAGGGGAATTCCAGACACTAGTTGACCTTTGGACTAATCTGGCATTGACAAGCTCGTTAGTTTGTCGTTCAATTTCTGAACGCTTTTCAGGATTTTGTCTGTAAGGTGCTGACCTTACAGGCACAGCATCAGGAAAAGTATCAATTTTATGAGTGCACCTATCTGTTTTACCAATATTATCTAAGGAAGTTGAGAAAACATTCTTGTTTTTAAATAGTAGGCTTTTGAGTTTTTCTTTTTGATGTTGAGACAAATTTTTGTTATCTATTTCGAAGTTGATATTATCATTGAAATCTGTCATACTATGTTTAGTATCTTCTAAGTTGGTGCTTGAAATATTGATATTGCTATTTGTTGTACATAGATTGTCATCAAAAGAAAGCACATTATTTTCATTGACAATATGAACATTTGCAAGGATGCCAGATTTTGATAAATAAATATCTTCATTTGTTGGGTTTGCCAATTTCATGATAGTTTTATGATTTTCTGTTGTTACCAAACAGCGGGCACCTACAATATTTATTCCTTGTAAATTTTCTGAAGGGTCTAATAAAATTGTTTCATTTTTGTTGCCTTTAGAGACTCTTACATTGATAACTGCCTCTGAGTTTGCTTTAATAACTTGTGGTTTGATACATCTAGCATAGCCTTGCTTTGTATCTTGTATCATTGCCACGGACACATCTAAACTAGTAAACCTTACAAAATTATGCTGAAAGTCTACTACACATTTATAATGCATCATGAAATCTATGCCAATGATAATTGGATGATGGAGTTCTTTAATGATTATGAATTCTTGTTCAAAGACCATGCCAGCAATTTTCAAAGGTAGTTTAATTGCACCTTGTACTCTATGTAATTCTCCTCCTACACCCTTAACAAGCTGAATTTTAGATGAGCAAATATAATTTTCAAAATCTGGAACAAGTTTTTCTAAAAGAGCCTTTTGAATGCAACTTATACTTGCACCAGTATCTACTAAAGCTGGAATTTTTCTGCCTTTGATTTCAACATGCATTGTGTTTTTTATTATTGATTCTGTTAAACAGACAACAGTTTCAGAAATATCATTAGCACTTTGGGTATTTTCAGTCTTTGGCATATCTACATTTTTAGAATAGGTAGGCAGGGTGTCCATACAAGAGGTTTCACTGTAGGATTTATTTATAAAACTTTGATTTGTTATGTTGGGACTTTTTTCTAAAGAATCAGTGTTAGTAAGGATTGCAGGCGATGGTTGCTCATTTTCTTTTTGTGAATTTTGATTCCTAGCAAAATTTGAAGTATGTAAAATGTTAGATTGTGAAGTTTTATCATCTGTTTTTGAAGTTTGTATAGCAACATTTTTTGAGTTACAAATTTGAGGATTTTTATGAAAAATAGTTTTAGAATTAGCACATTTTGTATCAGATTTTGTTTTGTTTCCTACTTTAATAGCACTGTTACTTTTATATTGTGTTTTTAGATCTGACGTTTTGTTCTTATTGACATTTTTATGTTTATTAGATATGTGCCTGCCTGTAAATGAATCACAGACAGGGGCGAATCCCTATTGTGAACCATATTGTTCATCTTTAGCCCTTTGCCAACAGCATTGATACAAATGGCCTTGTTTAAAACAGTAATTACAAGTTAAATCTTTTGCCTTGCAAGTATTAAATGAATGTTTCCTACCTTCTCCGCAGCGGGAACATCCTTCTTGATGTCTGTTGGGTTGATTCCTAAATGGGGTAGGATGAGCTGTTGTTGGCTGTTGGTGTCTTGAAGGCACATGATGTCTTGGCCTTTGTTCAGCTGTCCAAGTTGGAGCAGGGGATTGTTCATGTTTTGTTTCTAATTTCGCAATTTTGTCCATTAACGAATTGATTTGACCGAACAGTACATCTGTAAACGCAGATGCTGCTTGTATAGGTGTAGTGCTGGCCAAAGTACGTTCTGCCAGGTAGGCGGCTTTCCTTACACTTTCCACAGTACTTAAATTCTGTGGCATCACAATTTGCCTTATTTCTGTTTTTAATCCTCTTAATGCGATAGACACTACAAGCGATTCTGGATAAGATTTTCTGTTTGTTGCTTTTAAGAGTCTTGTGAAATAATTAGACGTAGATTCATTTGATTTCTGTTGCAGTTCCATCAAGGCTAGGTCAGATTCTAGACCATCACAGCCATTGAACCGATTTTCGAGCTGTGAAATTAATGCGTCATAGTCACTTTTCGTAGCACTGTCTATTGATTCGTAAAATGCCAAGGCATGTTCTGTTAAAAAGAACTGTATCATTTTGGCCTTAGTGTCATCATCAAGTTGTAAAATGTCAGCATAACTATTATACTGGTCCACCCATTGAAGAACACTATTGCCTGGCTGACCATTAAATTTCGGCATATCCACTTTGTGAGCCATGTTGTTGACTGTTGTTGATGGTGTAGATGAAATAAAACTAATGTCACTTATAAAACTTAAATTTAAATTGGACTCACTATATGATGAGTCTGTTTCAGCAGATTGTTGTACTTGTTGTTGGTCTTGATTTTCTTGTGGTGATGATGTTTCCTGTTTTGGTGCTGACCTCAAGTAATAATGAGAATTCTGTGGATTGCTCATTGATTCGAACCACTTTTCTCCGCCAGTTTATTACACCTTGTGGGGCTGTCTCTTTTTGTTGTATATTAATGGTGGTGAATATATATTTTCGTTCCCTGTGTCTCACTGTATAATTAAGACAATGGTTAAAAAATAATAAAATCACAATTTAAATAACTTTTATTTATGCAGTCAAAGTTGGAATATCTATATAATATACATGTATTTAAGAACATAATTATAATACAATTACAGATGCATTTCATGTACCAATATCATAAGTAGTACCTTATTGTAGCATTTATATAAAAGTATTAACATGCCCTTAATACAAATAAAACAAATATTAAAGAAACATTTAAAACATAATATGAAATCTCTAAATTGTTTTTGGGGAATTAGCTTTAATATGAAAATAAATAATGTTTTGGGGAATTAGAATTACATTGAGCATTCACTCGCATGTGAGAAGAACCAAAGGATAAAATCAATGAGCTTTTTAAATTCCTAATTATCAAAAGTTTTTAGCTATTTACATAACTTTCAAAGTTATAAAAATACTTATTAAAATTACAGTTAAATAACATTTTCATAGCTAAATTAAACATGTACAACAATATTACATAAAACAGTATTTACAAACATTATGCTCAGAAACCAATAAAAACTTAATACAAAAATAATAGTAGTAAATGTAAAAGACACATACCTGTATAATTAAGACAATGGTTAAAAAATAATAAAATCACAATTTAAATAACTTTTATTTATGCAGTCAAAGTTGGAATATGACTGCATTATGTTGTGTCCTTTCTTATATACAGGTTGGTCCTACCAATATTTGGTCCTGAAGGGATGAGATTTTTATCACATAAGATCTAACAAAAGAAATAAAATAATTATAACACTTAAACAAAGATAAGCTGGAAATGATAGTGTGATTTTGACTATCATTACCTTTTTTTATTCTTGCCTAAGGTTGATAAGGAAATTATCATTAACAATCAATAAAAGAGACAGGAAAATAAGATTTATATTTTTACTACAAGTGTCAGCTTATGTGTCAAATCAAAAAGAGTTCTTTTCAAAATAGTTTTATGTCTTAAGGGTTAATTGGAGGAAATGATCTTTATCAAAAAGTATACTTCCAAAGTTTGAAATCTCAGCATTACAAAAACACAGTTGAAATAAATAAGTCAAAATATCATAGGTGTACAAATATATGAAATATAAAATTGCAAAATGATAAGGAAATTATCATTAACAATCAATAAAAGAGACAGGAAAATAAGATTTATATTTTTACTACAAGTGTCAGCTTATGTGTCAAATCAAAAAGAGTTCTTTTCAAAATAGTTTTATGTCTTAAGGGTTAATTGGAGGAAATGATCTTTATCAAAAAGTATACTTCCAAAGTTTGAAATCTCAGCATTACAAAAACACAGTTGAAATAAATAAGTCAAAATATCATAGGTGTACAAATATATGAAATATAAAATTGCAAAATGAAATATAAAATATACATAATTAAAACAACTAATGTAATGTTATGTAATATAAAACATGGGGTGAAATTATTGCTTCATAACAAAAGCTTCAATACGCCCACAGTACAGGTTGATGTGCCAACATTGTTGTGCCTCACAGAATGGAATTTAAGAAGCTGATTATGATAAGGGAGTATCATTAGCATATTTGTTGCTGTACACTATTTGATCAATGTTTATCATTAAATTTATCACATTCGAAAAAAAACAAAAAACAGAAAATAGTAAAGACCAATCATTATCGTTCAGCTCGTTTAAAAAAATGAAGTTGGTAAGTGGTTAAACCTTCACATTCTTGTTCAATTGTACACAATTCTTATTTACAGGTGTGAAAATTACCTTCTGGTGCTAAAATGATATTTGTTAAGGAGATCTTTTTTACTGCTTCAATGAAATAAAAACTTACACGTTCAAGGACAAGACCCAGCTACTAAATTCGCTTTCACAATAGGAGAAAAATGCATCTTATAATTATTTAAGACCAACATAATTGATTACTATTTGTTTTGTCTCACACGACCATGATGACCAACAAAATATTGATCAGACCTGCTTGATCAATTTTCTCATATACACTTTATAACCAATTTCATTTCAGAAGGTACAAGTTCAAATACTTTACTTTTTTTTTTTGGCAAATAATATATACCATCTAACATTCTTATCTTTGACAATGAAAACACAAATTTGCATGACATTTTTTGCATTATTAAGAATGTAAGAACACTAACCTTGTATTGTTCGTTTGAAGAAAGCTTTGCATGCTTCACATGAAGAAACACCATAATGAAATCCTGAGGCTATGTCTCCACAAACTAGGCAGAGTTTTTTCTGTCCATCTGTAACTTCTATTTCATAGTTCGTGTTGCTAGGGCAGTATTCCAATTTGGTGTACTGATGGTGGTTTGATTCTACACTACATGGGGACACTTCCCCGCTACTATCTCCGCTGTCCCCTGTGTACCCACTGTCAACATCAATGTGGTCAACTGCATATGAAAACACATGACTTCCAAAGTCAAGCTTTCCATCATCCAAACTGCTTGGTGACAAGTCTCCACTATCGAAATTGTCTAAACTATCATCTGGGAATGATCTATCTGAACCAAGATCATCATTTCCAGTATAGTCACTGAAGAGATCGCGTCCGAATCCTTCATCAAAGTTGGGTTGAGTGCAATGACTTAAGCTTAACGGACTTGAAGGCTCGCACTTTATTCCTATAGACACATCCATCTGGACGACCTTGTTTATTGTTATCTACTGGGATACCGTAGAGACAAAATGGTGACTGTTGTCGAGTGTTACGATCTTAGCAGGAAGGCGGCAAGTATTTTAGGCTTTGGTGTAATAGTTTTATATCAATTTAGCAAAAATGCCCTTTTAAGATTTAGAGGTATGCTTATCTGGTATGTGTTCTTGTTTCTTGCTGTCTTTGGTGGTCTTTATTTCTTGAATGTGCTTTATTCTTTTTAGTCTTGTTTATTTAGTAGAAACCTGCAAGTAAAATAACATTTTCATTAGCTACATATACCTTTATACAAGATCTGCAGCAAAAAATATCCAATTTTTTTACTCTGGAAAGCGTGATCAATCAGACAGAATTGCCAAGAAAAGCGGAAAGAGAAGCGGCCCTGATTTGATCAATGCTGCTGTGACACTTTCTCCATTCAAGCTTCTGATTAATACAGATTGTTTGTCAATATGTCATCTAAATGCAAGCGAAACTGCCATAGATTCATCTTAGACACAGTGGTATGAACAGCCGGATTTTACACGATTTTGTACTTGAAATCAACTGAAATCAAACAATGAAACAATAACCGGCCCTTGATAAAGTACATTGATTGCAATTTGTGCATGTCTGCTCAAGTATGTTTGCTTTTTAAATCAGTGTGATTTATAGGGAAACATATCCTGTGGATTAGTTTTTGTTGGTATTGCACTGCATGTCTTAGGGATCTGGTTTTTCACTATTTTATCAAAATGATTTTAGGCAAAAGAGATGAGAAATATATATTATACTTATCTCTAAAGAAATTTCGCTCAATTTTCTAAGACTAAAGACAAGTACTATACTGAGAAGATGCGCATGTAAGTCTATATACACACTGTTCAATACATTTAATGAAATATATTAGTTTGATTAATCCAAATGAGGGAAATTATGTAACAAATACTTTTCACTACAACTTTTTTATTTTTCTTGGAAATGTTGGCAAAAAAATTCTTCAATTTAGATTGCATAATAACCACAAAGCTAAAGAGTTACATGATATATTTTCCTTTTTTGCTCAACAAAACAACAGACTCAGCGGAAAATGAACAATATATAATTAAAAAGCTTGTGACAAGTACATAAAAATGTACTAAATCACATCATAATTATATGTATATGGTGTACATTATACATGTCATCCTTCATGACAATTTTAGGTCATCCGGCGCAATGAATAATGGCAAGATTTAAGGCAGACCATATTCAGCGGAAGCTGTCATTACATATACAAGAATCATTTTCATTAAAATGTAGTTAATTCATTTTGTGGTTGCTCTGTTTTAATTAAAGCTGAATTAAGCAATGAAAACTCATTAATGTTGTCTGTCGGGATTAATTAAATCAGAGAAGTTGCTCATGTATAATCTAGTAACTGTAGCAAAAAAAAAAATACCTAATTCTTTAAACTTATACATATTGTATGACTAAATAGTAAATTCATTTAACACCTGTAACTCTTTCTATAGCATAAATGCATTAAAAAAACTATTTATTTGCACATCTTTATGTTTTTCAATTAAGAAAAACTAGTACCACTGTTTTTGGTAGGGTAACCATCTAGAATTTTAATGGAACTTTCTGGCATAAGTAAGTTATACATAGATATCAAACATTAACATGAATACAATAGAGCACATAGAAGGTATTACTGTCTGTTTCTCCATCTTACTCATGATTACCTCCCTTTAAAATAGTGCAATTTTACAGAGAAACAGTTTTTTACCTGATATATCCAGATGGCTTAAGAATAGTCAAAATGTTCTTCCCTAAAAACCACCATAAGACATTTTTAAAACAGTAAAGGCGTGACATCAATTAAGCCAACCCAGAACACTTATAGACTTTGTTTTTTCTATTTAGCAATAGCAATGATTTAACAAAGTCAATATTATGACCATTGTAAACAAATCTCTTTTAAACGATTAAAACAACAAAAAACACACACAATAACACTTCATCCTTACATTCTTATTTGTTTTCTTTGAAAGGTTACTTTTTTCCTAACTGCAACTGACATGCTATGTTTAAATCCAATACTTCCCAGTAGTGAAATTCTTGTTTGGGGGAAAACATTGCTAATTACATAATTAAAATGCTGCAAACAGTGGGAGAAATTGATGTTTAAATTGTAAACAACTACAGATGACAACCAATTAATGTATCAGGTTATTGTGAAATCAGCAGCAAGTAAAAGGAAAAGAACATTAAAATATTGCTCATAGTTAGAGTTTTACTACAATGCTTTTTTCCTTCACATGCTTCATAATATTTTGATGTTGACAAAAAGTTAAAAATGTTGACTGCATTTTAAAAAAAATAAGCTGGAAATTTTGTTCTTCAATGAAAACAACCCTTAGCCATTACTTTTTTTTTAGAAAGGATGTAGGTCAAAAACATATTTTCATATGCATTAAAGGGAGGTAATATAAAAAAATAACTTATTGGTGAAAAGATCTCTTAAAACATCCTTATTCTGGCAAAATTATATGCAAAACTATCCAAATTTGAAACGTCTAGTGCTATTCTAATACATTGCCATCTGAAAGAAAATACTGTGTTTTATTTTTAGATGGTTGACAATAATGCGCAGTAATAATGGTGGCAATTTTAACCAAGTAACTATCAGAAGTTGTGACTTTAATCCCTTTTCTAACTCATCTTTCTATTTTTAACTGCCTTTTTTTTGGCTTAAGAAATTAGCTCCTAAGGCCAAAACATATTCCATTTAATATCATCCTTAAACAACTTAAGACTGCAAATCTGACCAAAAAAAAAAAACAACGTTACAATATGTGACACTGAGTTGACATCTGTTCCCTCACATTATTCTTCCTTCATCAAAATAAAATTGTTAGCTTTTACAAATATTACTTCTTTCATTTGTACACGTAAGGTCAGAGGCACTGTGGATTTTCTACAATGCGTCATACTATTTCCCTCCATTTTTGTTATATCCTGTGTGTCAATATTGTCCGAACACTTAAGGCCTTTCAAACAATCCTACAGTGAATAATAACAACAGTTTTGTTATAATAATCAAGTATTTGAACAAGTTCAGCTTTTATAAAACAGTCAATGAGACCTGAAAGCCTGAAAAATACCAAAGATACATACAATCTGATTAAAAATACATTCCTTTCAAATCTATATATTATAACCTTTTACACAATAAACCTTTGACATAGACTCAATGACACTATTACCTTAATATTGGACCTGTCTGATATTAGTATAAGGGATTTTGAAATCAAAATGTTAAGATCTGGCAGTCAAGTGGCAAGATTCTGGTCAAAGTGACTGCACAACCCTTAGACTCGGCCGAATTCTTGTTCCTATACTTACTAGCGGGTCACTAATATGCTCACTGGGCAGCAAGGACTTTAAAAATAATAACTCAAAAGTCCCTGTGAGGTAAAAAGTTAACACTTTAATAATAAGAAGCTCCTTATGAAAGAATCAATAGCAGACAAAGGAGCAAGTTTAAGAAGACAAGTGTTCTTAAATCTGCTGTTTCAAGTATACATTACACTGTTAAAAGCTGATGTTGATAATAAGTTTAGCTTGAAGAAAGCATGAAGTGACAGTGGTCTAGACTTTGATGGATGAAGCTGCACATTAAAGCTGGGCTTGAGACTGTCACAGTCTATAGTTATAGTCAGCCTGTTAAAACACAGGCCAATCCTAACTGTAATGCAATCCTCTTTCTTTTTGTTATAACATTGATCCATTGATCAAGTTTTTAGCTATTGATCTCTTGATCAATAGATATAATTAAGTTCTTGTACACTTACAAAAGAAAAAGCTTACTTAATGATTATCAATTTTTAAGTCTACTAATGATAGTGCTGTGAAATTTAATACACAAAACTAAACATAAACGCGTCACAGAAAGAAGAAGATGAACTTGACAGCTAAAAAGTTTACCATTTACTAGTTTGCTATCAGAATTGTTCTTATTTTACTTTGCTTTTATTTTGTCTTAGTAAATAGAATTGCCATAAAATATAACCACAACAGAATCAGAAATACTTAATATTAAAGCTTAATGTAAAACAAAATCCTGCACCACAAAATACTTGACTATACCTTTTTCATCCAGAAAATAATCATTGCACATCAAAATGCATTAAAATCAGTACATTATCCAAATCTGTATCATGATTATTAAATAATTCATGACAATTAACTGGAAAACCATGAAAGACACTTATGAAGAACTCTATAATTTCTAATACTGATCATTTTACACTTTCATTCACGTTATTTCAACTAATTATATCTCAATGTATATGGTAGATTTAAACTACAAAATAAAATTCCCATATATATGAGACCAGGAAATAAAGCTGTGAAGCATTTTCATAAGGAGATAGCACTTGCTTTTTCTGCTCTTTCAATTTTAAAAAGATTTAATAAATTGTAGAAAGATCTGAATAAAAATTTGTTTTGATACTTGTCACGGTCAGATAAAAACGGTAACTGAATGAGCTGCTTCCAAGCATAACAATTTATGATTTAACCTACGCTTTAAACTTTCATTTTGTTGTAACTTTTAAAAAGCCTCTCATCCATAACATACAGATCAGTAAATTTTACATTACCCCTTTTTCAGTAAACAAACAGTTTGAAAAGTTCACCAATACAACAGGATTCATTCTCAATAAAATTTTCACTAGGACTTTAATATAGTAAAAAAGGAGTGTCTATAAACCAGTACAGTTAATTTGTACATGCGGCTAACTCATGTATACTGCCATTATAACTGACATACACGTGGTTAAACACCACTACCTAGCATGCTTAATTGTCAAACAATGCTCCATATTTAAAATAAGAAATATAATGTATAAATATGATATACATACACATTCTCTGCAGTTATTTTCCATAAACCACTACTATGTCCCTTAACCATGGAATGATCCATATAATACTATTAACAATAAGTCAGAATTTAAACCCTGGTAAATAAGGTTTAATCTCTGATAATGGTTTCAGACCATAATTTCTTGTCTACGTTTTAAACCAAGCCACGTGGACTTTCTTACTACAGAACAAAGATTATTGACCAAGTACACAAATTATATTGGAAAAAAACTTTCTTTTTTATTCTTAATTTGAAATAATTTTTAAACTCAAAAGACAAAAAGGCATATTTACAAATAAAAATATCAACTTACTGTTATTGTTGGGAAAAAAAATTCTCAAAAGCACTTAA